AAAGCATTTTAACAACCATGAAGGTTACTCATACACTTTCACCATAAAAAAATAAGGAAATTCATATAAAGACGAATTTATCCTTATGAATGGCGTCACTCACTCCATCATCGGGTCAATTCATGCACTTACATAAACTCAAATCGGTTAGTCAGACTCATCAAGATTTTCAAATGTACTTCTAAGCAATGCATCAGATGTAAACTTAAATGGGTTACTCAGACCTAACCAAAATTTTAAGCATTTTTGTTGCATCCTTACACACAATCAGGTGTACGCGGTGGTGCAAGTAATATAGTGTCTCTAAAAAATTTAGATTATCGAACTCAAAAGACTTATTGATTAATTATTTTACTAAATTACGCTAGTACTAAATATTTATTCAACCGTACTTAATGAGTATGATTTATTAGAATGCAAGAATAAAAGATGTATACTAATGTTTGGGAAAATCCAGGGTTGTAGCCTACTTAGAATTCATGTGTTGTATCTTCTTCTATGAACTTCAATTGACTATCAGATCGTTGATTTACAAGGTTGAATGTATGATCATGTTCTCCCGACCTCTAATCACCTACCACAATTGGCAGTCTAACTACATCGTTGAGCAGGAATAGACTGAACCAATTGCGGAGTATTACGGTTTCATCTTGTTTAGTAACCAAGCAAGGTCTTTAGGTATATCCTTATCCTAGATACGAATCAACCCTAGTTTCTAGAGAAGATCACGCTCCTCTAGTCCCGCGTTCAAGTTGGACAATGAATTTATCTCAATGGTGGTCAATTATGAAATACTAAAATAAGAACAAAAGAGCAATTTATACGATAACCAACTTTCATCCATAAAATTCAATGCTACACAATCATTCACAGCCAAAGCACCAGAACAAGGGTCTTCAACTACTAATGTCAGAGGAAAAGATTCCTAAGATGGCTCCCTACTACAAAGTATGATCTTCCTAATAATTATTATTATTATTATTGAGTATTTATAGATGAATAAAATCCTAATAAAAATAATTGAGTCCAAAGAAAATTGGAAACCCAAAACCTAAAGAAATTGAATTCTGCGTGAAACAGTAACAACCCACATTCAATAATTTGTTGGTGTCTACAAAACTTGACATGTGGTATATGTATCTATTTCAATTGAATTTCTCTTCGACTGCACTTTCAATATAATATATTATTATATTAAATTTATTATATTCTCTGCTTGATTTCATTTTATAATCATTTATATTTAATTCGTTTCAGCATCAAATTTCTTCATCTTCACATATTAATCGTACAAATAAAATTTACTATTAAGAACAATCCATAAAATCGATGCTCAAAAAGGAAAAATAATAATACTAAATGGGAGGAAAATAATGATTAAAAATATATATATTTGGCTTCACATCAACACTCCACACTTGGACTTTTGTTCTTCTTCGAGCAAGCATTAAAACTCATCTAAAAAAATCAAACTAGGGATGTTGATTTCTTCCCCTACCCAATCCCCCATTTCTTTCTTTCTCCCCTTCCCCACACTCTCTAGGTTTCTTTTTTTTTCTTACTTTTTCTTCCTCTCCAGATTAGAAATGAAATGTGCTACGTAATTTGTGAGGTAATAAATCTGATCATTTTGATGGGTGAGAAATAATTATTAAATATCTTTGTGTAATCATATAGAGTGTGTTGGGTAGAATTATGTACAAATATAGAATATATTGAGGAATTTTAATGGTGATTTGTTTACATTAATGGTGAAAAGAGGTTTATGGTGTTTCAAGTGATGGACAAAGTTATAAAAAAAATATGATTGGAAGTTATGAATAATGAAAACATAGACAATAATGGTGATTTTTATGATTTAGGAAAGTGGTTATAATGGTGAAGATGGAACATTATGGTGATGAGATCTAATTTAAAAAATGGAGAGAGACAGGTTTAAGGAAGAATGAGGAGGAATGAAGAGAAAAAGAAAAAAATGATTTTTTTTTAAAAGTAATAATTAATGACGTGTCATTAAATCTGACATGGATGATGATGTGTCATTTTTGTTGAGCGTTTGAAGTTCACATAAAGGCCAAGGGGGTTTAAAATGTTGAGTTTCTTTGAGTTTAAGGGCTTAGTTGGGAAATAGTTAAGTAAAAGGGTTCAGAATACAAACTCATACAAGTATAAGAGTCCATCAGACCATTTCGCCAAACATTTTTATTTGATCCAATGGAAGTACTTTCTGTAGAATATTATTTTAAAAATCATACATTGAAAAAATTAGAAGATGATCCTCCAATTGTAAAAGCACAAACAAAATGAGAACCTGCTAGGTTTAAAGGAGTTGTCAATGCTCCAAAAGGAATTAAAGCAATGGGGCATTATTTATGTTTCTATAAAAGAAAATGAGTAAATTCAAGATGAAAATGAAGCAGGAAGACATGCCAAAAAGATTTAGTACTCAAGAGTTACATTCAAAACGAGAAGTGAATCTAATTCACTACAAGCCCAAAGATGAATCTGCAGATCTATTCACAAGGTCACTTTCGGTTATCAAGTGTGGTGATCCCAAGATAGAAGATCAACATTTTGCGATTCCTAAGTAGGGAGGAGTGTTGAATATTTGCTTTAGAATTGTAAATTTTTTAGTGCAGTAGTTTTATTAAAAATAGATCAGTCAACTAGTTAGCCCTTTTAATTAGGAGTTGAATTCTATTTGAATTTTGAATAAATAGTATTTTATTGACTTTAGGAGTTAGGTATTTTTCAGCAGATCTTTTTGCTTAATTTTAGTTTTATAAGTTATTTATTTTATTATATATTGTATTCTTAGAAGTGAAAATATATCAATCTTTCAACGTAAATTCATAAGCTTTCTTTCTTATTTTTATTCCTATAATATTTTTATTTTTTTCTTGTAATTCCTCTCTTTTAAAACCAACAGAGTGTAGGTGCGTATAGCGTGTGAAAATACAATAAGTTTTTTTTTTTGTTTTCTATCCGGTGTTTGAACCCTACATTAAAGCTCTAACTAAATCTGAATCGCTAGGGTGAAACACTCTCACCACTGCACCATACTTGGTGAAAAAGCAATCAGTTATGTATAAGTATAATAGAAGACGTAGAGCATATTCAGGCTGAAGTTGTCAAAGTGTTGACTGTATTTTCTCATCTCTATTTCTTCTTTATCTATATATAGTTTTCTTTGTTGTTCCATTGCACATGATTTATAGCTAGCGTTGTAATTAATGGAGTGAGTTGATCTTAATACAATTAGTTGGTTACTATTTGTACATTGAATTTCTAGTTTGTCCACCCTCCTTGTTAAATAATTAAATCATAAAATTCAGAGCAAACTACATAAATTTCATTAGTTTAGGAATTAATTACTAAGACTCATGATAGTTTTGAATATTATTTTATGTACCATATCTTGTTCTTTTGGATAATGTATCTTAACTCAACATAATACATGTATCCGACGAATTTAATAAGCGAGATACATGTTTTATTCGTTTGAATTAAATGGTTGTAACTGATTTCCTTAATTAAATGTATAGTTGACTACTTTCATCCCAATATATTAACTATGTCAAAATTTTCAAAAATATTGATTTCATAAAATCAGAATAATTGTAAACTTCATCTTCTTGGCAGTAAATCATTTTTCTTTCTTTCCTTAACTACATCTATCTATATGTCTATCTTCTAATAAATATAATTATATATACATATATGATTATTTATTTGAGGTGTATCTTACCTACAATAATAGTGATGTGTGTATATAGCTGAGGGTCTTTTTTTAGAATGATTTTCATAAATACTTTATCTATTATACACGATCATGTATCTGAGTTATATCATTTACATACATTTATATCTAAAAACGTATTTAATGACAGGCTCTGTCATGCTGATAAATTCTTTGTTAGATACAAATGCACATATTTACCTAATAGACATATGAAGACTTACAACATATACAATGAAAACAAAAAGATACATGAACTTGTTTAAATACACCAGATACATCTAATAAAATAAGATTCAAAACTCTTTAGACTAAGATACAAAACATTAATTTCAGATACATATAGAAGAAATCATGTTTAATCCTTCTCCCCATTGTATTTCTGTCGTAGTCAATAGAGATACAATACACCATTATATATTCATCAAAAATAGACTTGAATATCCATAGAATCCATGACTTCAATGATAAAAGAGTTTGTGGAGTCTTCGACGATGATTGTGAACTATTTGGTCAATCCATCGATTAGTAAAGCTTTTTTTGTAACAGTTACTTTGATCTGGTCTCGTTAGAAAGGAACAATACAGAATAAGGTTTGGGTTCATGAGATTTTGTCGGTCATGGTAATGCTATCTTGAGAAGAAGAGAGTAGATTAGCCATTATTGAAATGAAATTGTATGGTGAAATTTTTGAATCGGAAAGGAGAAGAGATAATTAAATGATAAATATGGGAGTTGAGAATTAAGAGAGAGTGGTTGACTTATGATTATGGTATTATTATTTTTCTTATGAAATATTTATTATCTAATTAAATTTTAGCCATTGATTTTTATCTATGTCATGTGTCTCACATCCAAGCAAGAACTTGGGGAAAATGGAGGGAAGGGAAATGGAGAGGAGCCGGATCCAAAAATTTTAGACATGTACATATTTTATATTTATTAATTGGGATGATTTCAATGTTAAAACTTTGGAGTAAAACTTGTAATATTTCGCTGTCTCTCCTTGTGGGCAGCAAGGGACATATTTGTCATTTGAAGAATTAGAGTTTTAAGGTTCACATCACCTGTCCCTCAACTGAAAACGACTGGAAGCAACCTGTGGTCTACCTGTATACATATCACACTCACATTAATATAGTTAGTCGTACATCTTTTTTTATTTTTTAATTTAAAAATTAATGTTGTTCGTGTTACATAAAATATTATATATATAAAAAAAATTCAACTATGTCCATCTTGTTCTTGTCTATATATAAATGACATAAGAGACGCACGCAAATACGCCTCAAGAGCTAACAATGGTGGATCTTCAAACAGTTTGCTGCATGTGTGGTGACGTGGGCTTTCCAGACAAACTTTTCCGTTGCTCCAAGTGTCACCACCGGTTTCAGCACTCGTATGTATTCCCATATCACTTTTCTTACTCCAAATTACTTAATTCTTCTATTTCCATCATTCAATTTCTTGTTTTGTGTATCAAATCGTCTTAATATTATTCTTCATATATGGTCCATGGCCTTTTATTAGTCTCTTTTGACTTATTCTTCTTCTTTTTTTTTTTTTTTTTTTTTTGGTTGTGGCCAGCCAAATATGACCCTTGAGATTAGTCTAATTTATTTATTTTGCAGAAAATGTCACACCTAGATCTATTATGTAATTTTTTGAATCCATATATATATATATATATATATATAGGTATTGTAGCAACTACTACAGCGAATCATCCGAGGCAATACAAGTGTGTGATTGGTGTCAAAGCGAGGGAGCAAGCTCGAGAAATGGTGCTCGAAAACTAATAAGTGATAGTTTAGGAATGGTTAATAGATCGGAGTATTCGGGAGATAATAAAATCAAGCAGAATGATGATAAGGAGGAAGAAAGTGGTACTACTGAAAGGGCAAAAATGAATCCTAATGGGAGTCCTTCACAAAGGACAGCAACTCGTAGATACAAGCTTCTTAAAGATGTTATGTGTTAAAAAATAATAAATGTAAGTGTTTCAATTTTTTAGTGTTTTTTTTTTTTCCTTTTTTCCTTTTTCACTGCCAAGAGTTTTTGGACCTAAATAAGTTGTTAGAACCAGTGGAACTCCTTCATGTATAAATCGTGATGCTAATTAGCTAGTAATTAAGCACGGCTTCCCTTGTATGTGGTGTTCCTTTTGCCTATTAACTTCTACCTATAATTAAGTCAAAGCGATATTTAGTGACAATATATTTTTTGTTGTTTAATATCTTGGTTTTAAATATTTTGTATTCATACTTATTATTACTGCTAAATTTATTATTTGTTACTGTGATTCCGTGGCTCGTAGATATGTTAACTATTTCATGCAAGAAAAACGAACCAGCTCATTAATGAGAGATGGTAAATGTTTATGATATGAAAGGAATTAGCCAATTAAAATAGATTAATGTAGTAAAAATTGTTTTACACCTTGAGATCGTATAAACTAAGTGATCTTTATTTTGGTAATAGTGGGGGCAGTTTTATGAAGAGGGTGGGGGTGCTACTGCCTAGTTGAACTTTTGTACACTTTTGCTTTGGGAGAATCATATGCACCTTTGATTCCTTTTGGCCAAAGAATTCATGGTACCTAAAGTAGGTTAATTAATATCCTTATATTACTAAAATAAATGAGTATATTATTGAAGTGTGTGATTATCTTAACTAGAATTATATATTTAACACGTTCTCTCATGTTGGATATGATTCTTTTTTCATAAGTCAAGCACAGTTTATGCTCCTACCTATTATCTGGATATACCAAGAAAGATGTACGGTCTAATGATGATAATTCTGATGAAATTCAATCAGAGGACTTCTGTTTGATTTGATATCATTTTAAAGTCTAAACTATTAGAGAGACTACTTTTAACTGTATTCTCATCTCATTTGTTATAATTACTTGATTGGGATAAATTGATCATTCTCTCTTTCTGTAAACTTCATGTGAACCTAATTTAAAGATGAAGGAACCTAATAAGTAAGTCATCATGTTACGTATATATGAAGTTAATTATAGCGGATTATGGAATATTATAAGTGGTAGTGGTTTCCAACTTATTTTCAGTTTTTTAGTTTTGCAAACTATCTATGAACTTGAAGCCACATGTAGGCTTGTTTGATTCGACTTTTCAATCTTGAAAGTAAACTTGCATTAACACAGACTATATATAGTCTATAGAATGCAAAGTTCTATTGTTTACCTCTCAATTATTTATAAACGTGGCACACTTTCTTTTTAATATTGTTAAAAAAAAAAAATAACATAAATAAAATAAAAAATAAAAAATAAAATATATATATATATATATATAACTTTTATTAAACCTTATGGAGTAAATTTGTTTTTAATTAGATGATTTAAAATATCTAATATTTATCTAACTCTGTAAGTTTTCAAATGTTTTTGTTGGTTTCTTTAAAAATTGTGATTAATTAAATAATGTCACATAGATTAAAACGGATGAAATAATATTTTTACCTAAACAAGAGACGTAACAAAAAAATTTCTCTATGCAAAGTGTCCGCTAACGTTGTACCTTTTCTCCTTTTAAGCGATTCTTTTTCGTATATTATTCCGTTTTATTTTCTGGATGTGTGCTTTCAGTACTTTTTACTTAGCTTCTTGGTTCCCCCCCCCCCCCCCCCCCCAAGAAATGTGATAAAATGCCAAAGTTTTAAATGGTCTTTTAACTTCCGTTTGGCCATAGAGTTTGAAGTAGAAACATGAAAATTAAAACTTTTAAAGTTATGATTTTTATAACTTAAAATTATATTTGGACATGCATTTTATTTGGAAAAAAAAAAAATGATGTTTAGAGATGTTTAGAGAGTGAAAGTGAAATTTCTTCAAAGACCAAATTTTTTAGAACGTGAAAATATTCTAAAAATAAAATTTTAAAATCTGATTATCTTTCATGGCCAAATAAATATTTAAAGATAATACATTTGATTGTAACCGTAGTTTTTTGTGATGTTGTTAATGGGTAAATTGATGCAAGAGGATAGGTACGGGAGTTAGGATTAACAGATTTTCAAATTGGATAGGTCGGATAAAATATTAAATAGGAAATAAATTTTTAATTATAATAAAAATATATCCATATAAGAGTCACGTAAGATAATAAAAATTGTAACATGATACTTAACTGTTCCAAAGTAAATATATGCTTAAAGTTGAATAATATATGAGGACAAATATACCAAAATAATATAACGAAGGGTAATATAACTATTTTCTTAGACTATAATTTCAAATAGGACCCTTTTTCGCGTATAAAATAAAAGATTTAGTTAGCGTACTTGGTCATTTTGGCGAACTCATGCATACTAATTAAATGAAGGTCTTGAGTGAGAGAGACTTGGCTCTTGTATGGTCCACATCTATTCACAAGACCAGTTCTGCTCGTCTGCCTACTCATCAACAACCACCCCCCCCCCCCCCCCCACAAATCTATCATGTGTATTTTTATTTTTGTTTTCGAGTTTCTTATACAATATTTGATATTCGTATTGAATATAATTATTTTAAATTCTTATTCCTTAAAATTCATTCAGGAAAAAATATTTCGGCAAAATTTTCTTTTATACTCGCGGTTATGAGTTAAAGATATACTTCATTTGTCTCATATTAATTAATTTTCAAGATTAGTAAAATTATTTGTCCAAATTTATTAGTAATTTTAAAAAATAAAGATGAAATTAATTATTTTTGTTATAATTTTCCCTTAGTATTGAGTGTTTTTGAAGTAAGATTATTTTAGGGTTAATTTTTATTTTAAAATAAATGGTATTTTTATTTATTTTTCAATAAATAAGTGGTGTTTGACATAATCAAGAAGACATTAATGATTTTTTGTTTAAATAAAAGGAATTTTATATAACTATATTTTTTAAAGATATTTATTAATGATAAAATAGTAAAAATACATTTTATTTTCTAAGAAAAGCGTGTTTCCTTAAAATGAATGTCAAAGCCTAAAACACCATTTATTTTGCAATATGGGGGTGTAAACAACAATTTATTAGAGAAAGATACATATAAATTAGTAGAGTAAAGAAAACTTTTTATTTACGATTTCATAAGAATATTTTCAGGTGTTAACTATTATATGTATACTAATACATTATAGATATGTAGTTTCAAAAATACAATTTTTTTAATTTTTTTTTTATAGTTCTATATTTGATTTCGCACTAGTTAGTTTGACTTTTGAATTAAATCATATATTTTAAAAATAGATAGAGTGATATAAATATAAATAATCTAAATTCATAAATTAGTGTCCAATGCTATCTTTAAACCTATAGTCGTTTGGTAGAGTGTATAGTAAAAATAATGCATATATCAATTCTGTGTATTAGAGTTATTTTGTTTGACATACTATTTCATGCTATGTACGTATAACTAATATTTGCATTAGTTATACACTCTATATTATATCGAAGAGTGCATTATTTATACCATGAATTTGTAGGTATTAGTAATACATAGGGATTTAGTACATACGTTAGCATGGTTAAAGACCTAGTAATTTCTCAAAATTCCTTTACATTTTTTCCACCATTTGCTAAGAATATTTTTATAAATAAATATTTTTATACAATACATGATATTTTTAATACATCAAACTAAACAATACATATAAGATAATCTATATATACACGATGAATATTACTAATACAAATATTATTAATACAAACATTACTATATAATTTATATAACATTATTTTTATACACATTACCGAATCAAAAGTGTCAAATTGTGGATCTTTCGGTTCGTGTTAAGTCAGGGACAGTGAACCTCTATTACAGTTACGGTTAGACAAAATTCATTTGTTTTTTTTTAAGGGCTAAACTCTATTTTTATTTACAAAATTATTACTAGCAATTAATTTATACAGAATATAATTTAATAAATAAAAAGAATTATATTTTAAAAATCATAAATTTAAATTGTGAATTTGTTTTTGTGTTAAAGTAAAATATGAGAGTAATTTGATATTTGACTAGAGTTATATATGTATTAAAAATATACTTTTTTTGTCCCTATTTATTTATCAAATATTTCCTAATTTGATTCCTTTTATTTGTCATTTTTGACAAACAAGGATTAACAATTTTATTTTTCCTATTATACTCTTAATTTATTAACATTGAGGAATTGTCTTTGAAAAATATAGTGAGTAAATATGTTTGAGAATTTAGACCGTATTAATTAATAAGGGTAAAATGATAAACTCGTTATATCAATCATTATTTTTTTAATAAGTGTGTTAAAACAAAATTTAACTAGTAAAAAGGACTAAGGGAGTATGAATTAGTTTTGAATTATGTAGCAATTTGTTATGAAAAGGTTTATTTAAAAATTAAACATAGATATAATCATAATCTACATATATTAGTTATATAGGTTTTCAAATTGCAAAATAATCATCATATTAATTTTATACATAAACCTAATCAACTATTAAATATAATATTATTTATGCTACCAAATGAGTACGAGTGTTTTTTTTCTTTTTTTGAAATTGAAGGTGAGGAAAGGGAAAATGAAGGAGAGGATTATAATATGGAGAATTAAACCCTTACCAATGAAATATGAGTCAGATAATCAACCAACTAAACTACACATCGCTAATTCATTAGGCATTAATTAATGGGAAAAAGTTTGTGGATGAAAATGGTGGATGTTGACTCACAGTTATCATAACGTCGCCACTTGGCATCACAAATTCCTCAAAATGTCAACTTTGAGCACACATTTCAATACTTAGTGTCCAGTGTCTACGGCATTATTATGAGTAATTGCTGGGGCAACATTGATCACGACCATTTTTGTCTATTAGTAAACATTTTCAACATATTTGAATATTTCTTATTATTTAATATCCACTCGTTCACTTTAGTGGTCATATTACACTTTTTAAAAGTTAATTTAATTAATTTTTTAAGTTAAATTAGATTAAATTAGATTGTATTAATTAAATACTTTAAATAAAAAAAATAAATATTTAAAAATTATACGAAAAATATTATAAATTGTAATTTTTTACATTTCAGTGTGATAAAAAAATACATCATAATATATTAGTCAAAATTCTTATTTATTTGATTCTAAAAAATAAAATCATGACAAT